CGGAATGTCCTTCTCGTAGGTGGGTCTCGGTGCTCTTGCCATGGGGCTTCTCGGAATTGCAGCGGTCCTCCTCGCGCGAGCAGCCGCTATCGAGCTCGCCAAAACTGAAGACGCGCGCGCGGCCGCCGCGCCGCGCTGCAGTAGTCGCCGGACTCCGCCCACGTGGTCCGGCTTGGGCGGGCCCGCCGAAGCCCGCGCCGTGGCGCCGAGCCTGCCCCCCGCAGGCCGGGCCGGCAGCCCCCGCCACGGAGCGCGGCTCGCAACCCCCCGCGCAGGCGCGCGGCGGCGGGGGCAGACAGCGGCGAACCGGTCCGCTCCGCTCACCATTAACTGGCGGGCCGCCGCCCGCTCGGACATGAAAGTCCGTTGCCCGCGTGCCCGAGAGCGCTTCGAGTCGAAACGTCTGCGGCGAGACAGACGGCGGCGGCAGCAGTGACGGGGCGGGGTGACAGCGTCGCCTATTCCCTATAGGATTTCAACATCCTCCGCCTCCTCCTCCTCCTCCTCCTCTTCCCCCTCCTCCCCTCCCCCCCCCTCGCGTTCCTCCTGCGGCGCCCTGGCGCGCGCGGCCGCCCGCGGCCGCGAGCGCCCTCGCGGCCGCGAGCGGCGCCGCGCGCAGATCTGCGGTCGTCCTCTACGGGGCGCGCGGCCATGTTCGGAGGCGCGGGAAGGGGGCGCGGGGCGGGGGGAATTGCGCGGCCTGCTGCGCGGAGCTGCGCGGGCATGCGCGGCCGCGCGCGGGCCCGCGCAGCCGCGCGGCCACGAACGGCGCCGCGCGCGGGGGCGCGCGGCGCCGCGTGCAGGCATGCGGGGGAAGAGCCAGGGCAGGCAGCTGCACTGCGGGCACCCTATGTGTCATCCGATGTTCGTCACGCTGCTGCATGCCCCCGCACGTGGCCGCATGTGCACAAGAGGCTAGATCGTACTGCTCCAAGATCAAAAACATCCGCACACGCGGGGCAGATGCCGCGCACGCACCCGCACAGCGAGCGCGCATGTCGAACCAACATCGCTCGCACATGCCCCCAAACGGCCCTCAGATCGCGAGTCGCGCGTGAATCTTCGCGCGCTGTGAATTCTGCCACGTCAACGAAACTCGAACACACGAATACGGTTACTACTACTGGAAGCATGGAGAAATACATGCTCAAACCTTCCGCGCGCGCTTGGAGCGGCACCGCTACCGCCAACTTTGCCAATGTTGGCTCTGTCGCATCGGGCTGCACGAGTGATGATTCACGCCTGAAGTATGGCTGGTGTTTTTCAAAGAATGATCAAATCTCTGCGTATGAAGGCCCGTCGAAACATCGACCCAACCGTAGACATCACTCGCGCCGAAGCAGCTGGAATCGCCTCCTGCTCGCATGTTTGCAGCATCAGACATAACACATCGTTCCCCGAACATCGCGCGGAACAAACAAACGAAGGGCGCCCACTGCTTTGTGACCCCGACGTCCGAACAAACATAATACAACATATGCGCCGCAACGTTCACGATCTCAGACGTCGGCAAAAGAAGCGTCCAACATATCTTTTCGCTATCCACCGTCAAGTGGCGGTCGGCGCAACCAACCCACCACTTAGCGCACTGCCGAAGACTTGGCGCCGTGTCAGGCGGCGAAAGATACGATGGCCCATCTGATTCAAAACTAGCATTTGAGATGTAGAACTACACGATGTAATATAGCGCTGCTTTGGCTGCCTCGTCATGGGCAGGAAATGCCCCCCGCATCGACGGTAGCCGTGCCCCGTCGCGCTCGCGCGGTCGCCTACACCTCCCAACGCAAACCCGCCACTGCAAACCTCATCCCGATCAGCCCAATAACTGTCCCGATTGCCGGTGCCCTGGATATTTTCCACATAGTCTTCCGCAGGGAACGCGGGGCAGATCGCAAGCGTGCGGTAGCACGTGTTCACGATAGAACGAAGACAAACCACTTGCTTTTCGTCGCAATGCGGCAGGGGCAATCCGCACGTGTCCAAGCAGCAACCTGGGCTACGATACTGCGAATTGCCCCGCATGCGCGAGGAGGGGGAAGACGAGAGGCGGCCGCGACGACAGGAGCCGAGAAAAGATAACGCAATCACGCGGCGAGGCCGCGGGGCGCGCGCGCGGGGCGGCCCAGCCGCAGGGCAGCCCCTGGCGGCGACCGCGGGGAGGCGTCGCGGACGCACCCAGGGGCGGAGCTGCGCTGGTGCACCGTGCGTGACTGAGGCGAATTCCGACAGGAGCGCGCGGGGGGGAGGGGGGAGCGAGGTGGCGGGAGCCGGAGAAGAGGCCAGGCAAAACTGAGCGGCGGAAGAGTCTCGGGTGCCTGGCTGCGGCAGAACGGCACGTGGAGCAAAGAGGCAGCGAACCGAACCCAGCGCCGGTGCACGCATCACACTAAAAGACCGGGCGGCGCTCAGTGGAGCGGTCAGCCGGGATGCAAAAAAGGAGGAAGGCGCCGCAGCGGTGGTGTCCCCCTAGGTCGGGCAGCACGAATTGCCGGCAGGGGCGGTGGCCAACCTGCGCGGCGTGTGCGCCAAACGGGCTGGGGCCACCGGGGCCCGCGGCGGAGCGCGCATCGCGGCGCCCCAGCGACGGGCGGCGGGCGGGGGGGGGGGGCGCGCAACCGGGAATGGCTGTCGCGCGGCGCGCAGAGGCTAGGAGCCCGCGGCCACTGTGCGGAAAGGTGGCCGCGAGCCGGGCTGGGCCTCAGCCGCGGGCCCATGGCCAGTGGGCGCCGTGTGCGCCAGTTAACAGGTGCACAGCCAGGTAGACCAGAGACGCGGGGCACCTCCTGGGGCAAAAGGCACCTCGCGGTGGTCACAGTCCAGGTGGGGCGGTGGCACGCCCTGTGTGCCCAGGAACTGCGTGGCTGGCTCATCGTCGTAGGCCAGGCGTCGGTTAGAGCCTACGCAAGCGGGCTCGCCTGGAGCAGCGGCGTATGGGTGGTTCGCAACAACTCGTACTGGTGAACGAAGAATCGCTGGAAAGTGGCATCGTGCCAGCTGGGGTCGCGGGTGTTACCTGCACGCTAAGCACAACATCGAATCGATGCTAGGCTGCCCCACTTTCACTCCTTTTCAGCTGCATTTGTGTGACCGGACGAGGAGTCTCGCGCGCAGCTTGGCGCTGAGCCCCGCGCTCGCCCCGCTCCGCAGGACGCTCATAGCACGCGTATTGGAATTGTCTGCGCTGGCTGGCTGCCAGACGCTTGACCTCGCGCTGTGGATGTGCACCTGGTCTGCACCAGCTCCGCCTGCCTCTGCTCGGATTCGGCCTCCGCCCACCCCCAGCCGTCGGCCCCCCCGCACCGCGCGGCGCTGCTGCAAGCTGCAGCCGCCGCGGCCACCGCCGCCGAAGATACCGACAGAGCCATGTCACCAGCCGAGCTCGCGTCGCGGCGCATGGCGGTGACTGGGGGGGGCAAAACGCAAAATGGAGAGCCGGCGCAGGTGCCGAGCTACAACCGTGTCAGTGTTAGTAAATCGATTGAGCACGTTTGGACCAACAAGATTGAGCCAACATGTCTACGGATAATTGAACCTGACGGTACATGTGGAAGCTCCGCGAGGGTGAAGCGAGGTGCGGTACTATCCCGATCAGAACTGATATCCCCTTTCCCAGGTTGCTGCAAGCGGCGCAACTGTTGGCACGCTCGTGTGCTCCATGATGCGCAGTGGAGAACAGTGTTGTTCGCATCATAACTAGTAGCCCCTCTCTGGGCGCTGCGAACTGCGCATCTGTCGGCACGCTCGTGAGTTCTTGAGAAGTCCAACAGAGCGTGGTGCCAATCGGACCAGAAGCATTACCGCCTCCATGGGCGCTACCTCGTGAGTTCCCGAGGGGTCCTCTGAAGCACAGTGTTACGCGGATCAAAACTATGACCCCCCTCCTTGGGCGCTGCGAACTGCGAAAAGGTCTTCATCTTCGCTCGTTACAGGGATGGTCAACGGGGCAGCAAGGGAAAGTCGTACTTCAAGCAGGGGCAAGAAATGCTGCGCGTGGGCTGGGCGCAACTTTGAAGAACCACAGGCTCTGCACAGTGGGGCACGTTCTGGACTCTGGCCCATTCCTGCCAGGTACTCGGCAAAGTCGACGACGAAAAGCCTATGGCAGATTGGGGGGTGAGATCGACGTGACCCCAACAGGGAAATCGGATTCGCTTCCGGATCGTGTCATGGGCATAGCTATGGCCAAGTATGGCCAAACTTCTCCGTGCGTCGGCCGCGCGTTTGACCGCGGGGTTATCCCGTGGGTTGTCCAGCGCTTGTCTGGCAAGTTGTCCCATTGCGCTGTCTGGTAAGGGTGGAGAAGTGCCACCTGCTCCCGGCAGGATTGCAACATCTAGGCAGGCGGCCGCCAGCCTGCTGGGCAAGCCACAATACCGGCGTGCAAAAACACCCAGTTCTTCAACTCACGCGTCAAACTTTTGCTTTATACCCTAACGAGGGCACATGAGGTGTGGAAAGACGACGTGCTGTTTTCTGTTGCATCATGAAACGCAAGAGCTGGTGTGCGCACTCGCGCAAGACGGCAATGAACGCGATGCGTCCTGAGCAGGGAGGAGGGATAGCAAGATAAATAATGAGACCAGGAGTGTGAGCCAAATGAGATGTTTAGAAGCCCCAGTGTGCGAGGTGCGATTATGTGTGTGCGAATTCAAGCACCTAACAAGCAGGATCAGGCGAACAAATATGACGAGGATCCAAAGAAGAACGAACCAGAGAAATAGGAGTAGGCCAGACGATGAGGCTGTAAGACTAGCAGGGAACGGGAATCTTCATTGCTCTCTCTCTCTCTATGTGTATATATATGTGTGTGTGTGTGTTCGTTCTTTCTTTATTTCTTTCTTTCTCTCTCTCTCTCTCTCTGTAGCTCTCTTTCTCTCTCTCTCTCTATTCCCTCTGTCTCTCTTCCATTTCCCTTCCACCGCTTTTGCGTCCCACGCAGCTCCCTGAATCTGGACGTTATTGAATGCCGGATGCCGACGGGATGAGGGGCAGCAAGAGTGTCACCACAGCTTCGGGGCTATTCCCCAACTGCTCAGGAGGCAGATGGGCAGCGCCCACACTGTCAGGTAGCAGATCATAATGACCATGGCCGCGTAGCAGGGAACCAGCAGCGGCTGGATCTGCAAGTTCACCTGGGGGGAGCCAAACTATTCCGACACCACTGATCCCCAGACATCTCCCAAAGTGCTTTCTGACCAGGGTCCCGATGCGAATCCAGCCGTGGCGACGCCGCCCCCACCCTGCCAGAGGCACACAAGTGCGAAGACGAAGGACGAGTATCGGTCCATATGTGCGGTATGCTTCTCCCCTCTGCGCACCACCCCCGTGCACAAGTTCGCGGCCAGGAAGGTGACCAGCATGGAATCCTGCACGCCAGTATAGACCGACGGCATCTTGGGCCGGGAGCCGGGCCAGAGAAGGTCCACCGCGGCCAGCCCGCCCAACACCAGCGCGTTGACGGCGAGGGTGAGCACGCAGTAGGGCAGGTTGCACATGCGCCGCGAAACTGCCACTCCCAGCGCCTCTAGGCACCAGGTGACTGCGAGCCCGCCTGCCGCTGCGGCCAGCAGCGCCAGCTTTCGCGAGGCGGCCTGATAGGCCCTGTGGCGGATGAGCGCGCCCAGGGCCACGGCGAGCCAGTGGATGCCGAGGAAGCCGGCGCAACTCAGCACGCCCTCCCGGTTGGCCGAGAAGAGCCCCACGCGTGGCGCGTGCAGGATGAAGTCGCTGCCGCCGAGGGCGCTAAGGTAGAACTGGTAGGCCAACAAGATCACGACACCTGCTGCCGCAGACGCCGCTGGGCCCAAGTCAGCAGCGGTGGACACAAGGTTCACGACCGCAATGGTGAAGAAGAAATTCCAATGCACTCCGTACTCGGACGTGGGCACGTGGTAGTCGGTCCCCCGCACCAGAGCAAAGCGCACGAAGCCGATCAGCAGCACGGGCCACAACGCCAGGGCTCGCGCCATAACCTTACCGAGCCCACGTCCTTGCCGCTCGCCCCGGGCCGCCTTGGAACAGATCGCGCTCGAGACTATGATTGATCCTGTGCCCAAATCCATCAGCGAATAGCCGAACTCTTCCGTCTTCGCGTGCGCGCGAGGGAAGATCGACGGGAAGTCGACTGCAAGGATGACGATGCAGGTCGTCATCATCACGACCGCCCGGTACTCGGCGACGAAGCGCAAGCGGTTCCCTTTTAAGACACCGCCGGGATACCCAAGAACCCAGAACCCAGTCCCCCCGCTCTCCCCCTCGACCCGCCTTCCCTCGCCCCCCACTCGGAAGGGCGGAGGACGGAGGAGAAGGACTGGACTGGACTGGACTGAAGTCTCTGAGGTCCCCAGAGGTCTGCGCGGAGATCCCCGCGGAGGCCCGCGGAGGCCACCGGAAACTCAAGAAAGGAAACCAAATCCTCGAAGCTCCCCCAGGCAGGGGGAAAGGAGAGAGGACTGCATTCCAAGACCTTCAACGGATCGATGTTGTTCGTCCGCGGAGCCCCGAATTCTCGACGCTTTTGCTGCAAACACATCCCGGATACATGTTTGATAGCACGAGGGCACCGGAAAAGCCCCTGACCCTCAGGCATCGAAATGGATGAAACACGCTGGGCTCGAACAATGCCGTGGAAACCCAAAGTCAAGTTGGAGAGCCTCATTCAAAATCGAGGCCCAACAGATGGAGTCCCTTGGCCCTGGTTGGACCTGCTCCCGTGGTACTCCTGTCGCCCGAGAGGGGTCGCATCCGGATGCAAGCCCGCAAAATCCTCTGGCCCAGATGGATCCAACCAGACCGGCTCCAAATGGGATTCTGCGCCGCCCGAAGAGTCTGAGGTCCAGTGGGGCCGTGACGTGGGGAAGCCAACAGGTACCGATACTGCTGTTCCCCAGAGACCTCTCCGAGGGTGCGTTCTGAGCAAGACTTCGAAGCGAATGCAGCCGTGGCGACCAGGGCCGCTCAGGAGGCCTCCCAAGGGCGAAAACGAGGCAAGGGTAGTGGTACCGGTACTTCCTTCTCCTCTGAACCAAAAGGGCATTTCCCCACCTCTCTCGTCCAAGCTGCTGAAGCTGACAGGCTTGTCCTCGGCTTTCCGGGCCGCCCGGGACGCGAGGGCCTGGGACAGCAGCCGTGGCCACACAAGCGGGTCCTGTGCGGCGTGGGGGGGATCACCAAGGAGGACGCCAGCTCGCTAGCTATACCTCGTAGACCGCAAATTGGGTGTCAAGGAGGTCTAGGGGATGCGTGAGGAAGTTTGCAAAGTAGATGTTCGCTTCCTGTGTACAATTTCGATATGCGTAATCATACGCATCAATACCCATGTCGATGTGCGGTTCAATTGCATGTCGATGATCAGTGCGATACTCATCTCGGATTGCCTGTGGGTTTGAATTTCCAATGCTTTCGGAACCGACTCCCGACCTGCATGTCGATGTGCATGTCGAGACGATTTCGATTAGCACGTCGAGTTGCATTTCGATGTGCGCATCCAATTGGTGTTCGATGTGCATTGCGTTTTGAGTGTCCTTGTTGTTTCGGAAACTTGTCGATTGTTATGTATAATTGAAGTTCGATGTGACGTTCAACTGGAATTAGTTTCGAGCCTCAATGTGCATGCTGGCTTGCATCCCGATGCACACGGGAACCGTTACGACGTCAACTTCGACTCAAGCTCCGCCTTGAACTGTTGATGTGGTTGTCACATCGGCTTTCGGTGCCGTGTCGCCTTGATGCTTGAAATACATGTGTATGCGAATTGGCATGGGCATGTCGAGCGCATGTGGATGTTCGTTTCGAGTGTCATATCGACTTGCATGCCGATCCGACTTTCTGTGGTTCAGGTGTTCGATACGCTGTTAGCCTCGATAGTATTCTGGTTGGTGTTACATGTGTATGTATATATATATATATATACATATACACTCAATATACAGGTATGCCGATGCCCACTTCGATATGCATTCCCAATGCGCGTCGATTCGCATCTCGAGGCAAATTCCGATGTGTTGCTCGACTCGACTGTGGTTTCGCCTTTTCGGCTCCTTCGCCCATTTGCATGTCGAGGTGACGTCGTATTGCATTTCAATGTTCATGTGAATAGCACTTCGATGTGCACTTCGAAACGCATGTCGATGTGAACTTCGATGTGCGTTGCCATGGTTTAGCGGATTGCGTTTCGATATGGATCTCGAACGACATTCCGGTTGCAATTAGACTTGAATTTCGATATGCTGTTCTATTGCACATGGACTTGTTGTTTACAACTGGGCTTGCATGTAATCTTTCCTCTGAGAATCAGGGTAAGATGTCAAAGGAACTAAGGTATCGTGAACAATGCGCTCTGTGGTAGAGGGTTTGGGACGAGGCATGACAGAGACAATGGATAATCCGAATCGCAAATTATACCAAACACTGGAAGGAAGGAGGACCGGCCGGCCGACGACCGACGACGCGCGCAGGCCGCGGGCAGGCGCGCTCCTTTTTTGGCTTGATACCGAATAGCTACCGAACAGCGCTGCAGTACAATTCATGTCAAGGTGAAGCAAGACAGGCGGCAGGGGAGGCAACTAGAAGATGAGGCGGAGAGGAGCATATTAACTCCCCCCGCGGCGGGGCCCGCAAGCCCGTCAGCCTACATCCACCAGCCTCTGTACATATATACAACTTGGAGGAGCCCAGAAACTCCAGGCCGGCTGGGGGCGATGGGCTGAAGGTCGCCGACGAACCCCACCTCCGCTTAAGCCGGGCCTCTCAGGTCGCCACGACTGGGTCGTGCGACTCGTCCTTCTCATTACTTCTTCCAGTAGAACTTCGAATGTGATGGAGGCGGTGGAGGCCTCGGGGTCGACGACGAGGAACCTCCCTTCTGCCAAGCTGTCAGGTGAGGCGCAAAAGACTTGCCTCCTTTTCCTGGGCCAGCATATGGAGCTGGCCGCACATTCTTGGACTTGTCCTTGTTATTGCTATATCCCTTGCCCTGGTCTCTCGGGAACCAGTGGTCGCACTCATACTGGGACACGAAATGCCACTCTCGGTCGTTGCGCGCCTGCCAATGCACCTGGTCGCGGTGCACCCAGAATCCCACCACTTCACCGTGCTCGGAGGTCTTCGGGTAGTGCTGCATGGGGCCCCAGGCGCCATCGCCATAGCCGGCAGCCATGGCTCCGCCGCGGCCGCGCGCGGTCATTGGCTGATCCCGCGCGCGCCCGTCTGGGGAACGCCTCGAGAGTTCGTCGCCCGCCGAAACGGTTTGACCGCTGGCGGAGTGCGAACTCTGTGACATCATCACCTGCCCGAACGTCTTGAACGTCGGGTGGTCTTGGCGGGAAAGGTGGAGCCGGGCGGCCAGCAGGGCTTGGCCCAGCCGGCGCTGCCCCCCGAACGGCTGGGCCGCCGGAGGGGTCGTCTGCGGCTCTCTCCTCACGAGGACGTGTTTCGCGTCGTAACTTTGCATACCTCACGATGCCCATCGCGGCAGTCGTCACGTAGGGGCCGCAGCGCCCATTGGCAGTGCGAAGGGGGCCTTGGTCACAATCTTGTTCGGGGTTAGACTCCAAGACAGGAAAACAACGGCATCTTGCAGTGCTCCGCCGTGGCGACGGAGCTCGGCACGACGCTCAGTGCAAAGGTCGCGGGACTACTCTTCAACGAGGTCACCTGTGTTGAGAGCCGATCGGCTACGGCTGTCAAGCGCATATGCATCGATGCGGCGCTGTTCGACATTGACTAAGAGGTTGGGCTCTCGAGAATTGATGTCAGGCGTGGTCCTCCAACTCTGCTCAAGGGCCTCTTTCACCGCTGTAGGAACCACGTGCTCCGTTTCTCCCGTCAGGCCCGACAGGCGCTGCCTGTCGGCCGTTCCCGTTCTCGGGTGATGGCACATGTGCTCCATTACATACTGCGCCGCGGCGCTGATGGCGTCCTGCTGCGTCGTTGCGACGCACAGTGTGCCATCCTCGCGTCGAGGTGTCACCTGTCCGCCGAGCGGGTCTAAGGTGACTTCCCCTCTCAGCCACCGCTGGGTCTGGGACCCGCGGACAGCATTAACGTCAAGGGGAAGTGGGGCAGGCCTCGTCTCCTGTCGCCTCGGCTTGGTCGGCGACAGGTTTAACAGCACTGAGAGGATGCATGGCGCAAATTTTGTTGCGCCTAGATAAGGATTTGGATGAGCGAGCAGGGCGAGCAGTGAGCTGCTGCGCCCCAGCTACAGGCGGACGTCCACGCTGGCTGGGCCAGGTGGCGCCCGCGCCAGCATCCTGAGCATCGGGCATCCAGGCCGCTACTCCAGAAAGTGAATTGTACACCGTGCAAAGGTGCCTGCCCTTTCCTGGGCGCTTTCCCATTCTGCCCAGCCTCATCTAGGGATTGTGCTCGTTTCATCTTCGTCTGGCCAGTCAAAAGCAGCCAGAGGAGGGCATGAAAATGGGCGCGCGTACTGATCGATATCTGTGGCCCAAATGAGGGGCCACCGCTCTGCGATCGTTGGCTCGTTGGCCTGTGCTCTCTGCGCCAGGTACTCCAGCCACTTTGTGAGCCTCCTCTTGAGAGGTTCAATGTACTGGAAGAAAGGTCCGCGACGCGCCAGCGGCTGGGCCGCGGCGCTGTCAGGCACCCAGGCAGGAACACTACCGGGGCGGCTGTTGCCAAAGGTTTAACCTGCAGCAGCCATCGCGGTGCATGCACCGTTCGCCCACTTACGCTCCACCTTCAAACTGGCATTGCTATTGGACATGACATCCGCTGACGCTTTGCCCTGCCGCAGTCGTCTCGCAAGAATGTACTGTTCTTGGCGGTGGGGCAATTTGTCAAATTCATGAACGGTCAACTCAAAGCCATTATTCCGCAGTGAGTTTTCAATGATTTGCGACTTGTATGACTGGAGCAAATAGTTGTGCGCAACCATGTATGTGTACTTCGCTGCGTTTGTGCAATGGGGGCAACGGCCGAAGCCAGTGCGGACCCAATGCAGTTGAGGGCAGAGGAACCGACCGTCATCCATCCAGAGGACGGACCGGAGGAACTCTGCTGCCCTCTGAGGCCATTCCTTGAAGTTTGGCCGCAGCGTCACCGTCTCGCCGGTATGAATCCAAGCTATCATGGAATGGGGGTCGAAATCAACCTCATACGAGGTCCACTCTTGACTGAAGACGAGGACCCAAGAGGCCAATGGTTCATTCGATCCTGACCAATCCTTTACCGTTGCAACCTGGACAACTTTGTCGATGTCGGTGAATCTTGGCGCCTGACGAGACACCAGGGTCCCGTCGCGGCAAACCCGGTACGAGAAACGGGTAAGGACGCGGCCATTCAAGACTAACACGAGCGGCCAGAAATCTCCGTGCGTTGGGAGCTGGTCCCACAGACGGACTGTCTCCGCTGTGGGCCACGACCCAAATCGCAGGAGGCTGACCCGCCTCGGGGGCTTGGCCCATTTGGCGAAACTCCATGGGAGGAGCGCGCTCACCATCCCTACGCTGGCTTAGCCAGGAGGGAAAGTGTTCTCGAAGTCGCATGGCCAGGTTCCGCTTGGTCGAAAGAAGGCGCAACAGGCCATAGTCCGACTCAAAACACAATCCCAACCTGCTCTTGGGGCATTGAATGTCCCCGGGCATCGATGCCTTCAGCGCGCCCATGTCCGCAGCGTGGAGAAGGGGGCCAGGGCACCTGGCTAGGCCAGGGTCATAAGGCGCACACATTCTCTCAATGGAAGCAACGAGCGTGGAATGACCCTGACACGCTCTATAGAAAATGGGAATGGGGCACGCGGACCGACCACCCGTCGTGTTGGGCCAGCTCAGAAAATCCCTCCAGTGTCGGTAGAGCGTTGTGTCGCTAAGACAAGCAATGGCGCCGGCATGGATGTCCAAGACTTCCACGGTCCCTGGCTGCAACGCGGCTAGGCCGTGTACAGCCAGCGCCACCGTTTGGTGTTTGTATCCATCTTCGTGCATTTTCTCGATTCGGTCTCCAAAACAGACCCAGCCTCCCGAGAACCTCGCAAAATCGGGACAATGTCTCGCGAGGTACGCAGCAAGCTTCCCGATGCGCCCCGCTGTCTCGTCCGTCCGATAGCTTTGGCGCTGCCAAAAACCCGTGCCGCCAAGGGCGGCCGGGTTGTCGGCGTCAGAGACGCCTACGGCTAGCGGAGTC